CGAGGATGTTTCAAACCAAATAGTGTTATCTAATCCAGTGAGCAAGCAGGTTCCAATACCACTGGGAATTAAAAACCAAGAGCTGTCCAGGGCCAGGCTGCCACTCTTAATGGGCATTTTTACATGTGCTCCCTATGTGGTGCTGGGCACTCTTAATTAGCGAATTGCACTAATTAAAAGCACCCATGTGTCATGTGTATCAGCACTGCAGTGCATCGCCGTGCTGAGAAAATGGCAGTGGTGTGCACTGAGTGAAAGCAAATCGAACATGTTTTAGTTCAGAGTGCACTACCGCCATTTTCTCAGCATGGATGTGCACTGCACCACTATACACGTGACACACGAGGCTGCCAGAGCTCGTCAATTTACATGCTCCAGCAAACTTGATTAATTGAGTCTGCTCTGACGATCTGGATTTCCAGTGCATCAAAGGAGGCTCCTTGCATGGGTGTAAGTGCCCAGCGATTGTGTTCAGTTTCAAACAAGACATTAGTCATAGGCAGAGATCCTGGTCTTCCCTGATAAAAAATAGCAAATTCTCTCATAAACCCACCCCAAATCTGTGATTAAAATGAAATATCACTATATATTTAGGTATCAGTTGAACACAGTGTTTTATTGATATATTTAAAACTTTGAAGAAACTTGGAAGCCTACCAGTGCCTCAGTCACTATAGTAAGATAAAATTCTAACTACCGATAAATTTTGATATTTGATTCTGGGTTTTTTATCATGGAAAATCAGAGCTCCCCCTGCCCCCTTAGCTCACCAGGATGCAGGTCCAGGCCCCTCACTCCCCACCGACTTCCTCCCCAACCCTGCTGTTGCCCCTCACTCCCCTTCCCCAGAGCCACAGAGGCAGAGGCATGAAGTTATGTCCTTTGCTGCTCCGGGGCAGGCACAGGGTGCATCACCAGTGCAGTGCAGGGCTCGCAGCAGCCACAGTGAGCTTCCCTGCTAGGCCACACTGTGCCCTGCCATAATGGGTCCTGTCCACTGTGCTGCAGAGGCCCCGTGGGAGGGCAGCAGGGCAGGGAGCCCAAACCTGCAGCAGGCAATCCACACCCACCCCCATCCTGCGCACAAGGCTGGAGGGCACGTGCCCCATCCTGCGCACAAGTCTGGAGGGGAGGTGCTCCCCCTACCCCCTCCTAGAAGGGCATGCAGTGGCAGGGAACCAGCTCCAGCCCCCAGACAAGCCACCCACAGCCCCATCCCACTCCCTGCCAGGGCCCTGAGGCTGCGATTGCAGCCCCAAACCCCATGCACCATCCAGCTCAGCAGCAGCCCCAGCTCTGCCCTGCCCAACTCCCTCCCTTCCTCCCTATGGGGACCTCAGTTCCCCTGCCACTACTTAACTGTGGGATGTGCTTTCCAGGCTGCCTGGCAGCTATGCACAGATACATGCACATGGCACCCACTGCCTGACTGCCCTCCTCCCATTCCCTCTAGCCTCTTACAAGCTGGAATTCTGCCAGCCTGCAGGAAAGCAATATTAGGTAATGACCTAATATATAAATGGCTGACATCTAACATGTTTTTAAGTAGCAAACAGACAGGAGCATCTGATTCATAATAGCTGCATCTACATGAGACGTTTACTGTGCAGTAGGTCATTACTACTGCATAGTAGCTTGTTACTATTGCACAGTAGCATCGCTGGGCATGAACCATGATGTGGTGCTACTGCACAGTAGTAATGGGCTACTGCGCAGTAAGCATCACCCGGCAACCATGTGGGGCCGCTACTGCACAGTAATGCTGGTTACTCTATAGTCATTTAGTACTTTTTTTTAAATTAAAATGTTTTGTGTTCCAAGCCAAATCAGCCAAATCAATTCCAAATCTGTGAGTCAGTTAGAACCATAAGTGGCCCTAATACCAGCAAACATCCTTCACCCCACCTGCAAGTACTATATGGCTGTGCAGTAATGACTGCTCAGTCAGCATCTCATGTAGGTGCAGCCACTGTATCTCATCATTCATCTAGGGCAAGTATTAGATGTCACTGTTTGACAAAACAATGCAAGTATAGGGTGCACTTCTAAATCATTTAGATGAATTGTTTTACTCTTACTCCTGATGCCCTAATTATGGCAGGGCAAAGAGAGGACTCGGGCAAAAGGAGAGAACATGAAAAAGGCTTTTGGGAAAAAATCATTTGAAAATGGAAGTGGAATTTTCAAAAGTGCTTGGCTTTGACTTAATTCTTCTCCCACTGAAGTCCATGGTGAAACTACTTCAGTGTAAGCAATCCCAACATATATTCTCTAGTGAGTTATTTCCCTGTAAGGCATTAAATACCAGAAAGTTTTCAGGGTTAGCTTGTGTATTTCTAAGTATATCCTCTCAGCAGTGTGAGGCTCAGGCTTTAGATACTCAGCTGTATTCAGGACAGACCATAAAACTGCTTCCTCTTGAAATACGAATGTCCACATCTATAGTTTTGGTAGTGTCAAAGAGATGTTGTAGCCATGATGTTTCAACATGTGAGAAAAAAGAAATTTTGTGGGTGATATCTTTTATTGGCTAAGGATTATGTATTGTAAATGGCAAATTTCAATATTGCCCATGCTTTGGTAATGGCAGGGGAAGCATGGGAAAGACTTGAAGCCTATTGAAGAAGGACACAAGCAGTCAGTCAAGCTGGCACTGTTGTCAGGTTGAAGGCTTCATTTTCTGCCCTTTAATTCAATTCATTTAAAGCAGATCATAATAAATAGCAATACACTTTCCAGAGTGAGTTTTCAGACAAATAATAATGGTCTTAATTGTCTATCAGGATTTGCAAACATTTAGATGAATACCAGCTGGCTGTCTCACTGTCAATCATTTTAATTAATATCATGTCTGTCTTTCTGGCTGTCTGACAGCTAGATATCAAAATACCCAATCTGTGAGTACAGTAAGGTAATTAAATGTTCCCATGCTATATTTTCTGCCTATAATTAATAGCACAAGGTTGTTTCAAAATTCAAACATCTACTGCCCTAAGACTGAAGAATAGTGGTCACCAGTTGTATAGGAAGAGCTACACTTCAGGCATTGCTAATAAAAAAGCACATGCATATACAAAATGTGTACTTAAGGGCCACTTCTTGCAGTAGTTCACTAGGTCTTTCTATTAGAACACTCTTCTCTCTGGGGGGTTGAGTTAATTATCTAGCTAATGCAATCAGCATTTTCACATAAAGTACTTCATTCAGAATTGCTCTCTTGCTCATCATTCTCAGTAATTTGGCTGACGGTCAGTGCAAAACAAAGAGACTCTGGGACTTAAAAAAACAATCGTTTGTCCAGGTGAAACTCCATTTCTTCCTGTGTTGCTATGTGACAGGGACTTTCACATCGTTCGTGTCTTCATAATAATAACTGCTCTAAGCTTTGTTGCAGCAGTAGGCTTGTAGCGCTGTCTTCACTACTCTTGTGCATCACTAAACAAAATGAATGGAGAAACAGGGACACTAAACTGTTTTTTGGGGAGAGATTATAATTAAGATATTTTCACCAGACAAGTGCTGGGCATCACGCTGAAGAGTGCAATTATTGAAGAGAATAAAGACATGCACATGACCAGCAAGGCATGCTGACAGGGCCAGGAGTCCAGGGTTTTAGAAACACCTACTTATGACTGCTTTGATATATTTGTGGTCTCTTGGAAATTTCACACCTATTGCTGGCCTACACATAGTGGTTCACACAGCAGCTGAGTTGAATTTCCTTGTCATTTTGTATAGGTTTGTCCACATTAACCTCTGCTTTTAGTGATCACAGCATCCACCCATGCTGAACATTGGTAAGATCAAAGTGGAGTTAAAAATACAGTGAGAATGGTTTGGTGATTTGGTGATACAAAATGCAGCAGTCTAGCTTTATTAGTCACTGAGCTGGGAAGCTGCATGGCCATTTTGTTGGAATAGAGTCTGGAAGGTGGAAAACAGGGGTTCTGTCTCCATCTCACCCAGCTTGCTCTGGAACTCATGCCAATGCATTCAGAAGAAAGTGTACCAGTAGCTGAAGTGAATTGGGAGCCTTTTCATTGACCTCAGCAGGCACTTACCTCCCTCTGAGCTTTGAGTTCTCTCACTGCAAGCAGTGGGGTTTCTGCCAGTGTTCATGCAGTGCTGTGAAATCCTCAGATGGACATCAAAGTCAAAGCTTTATGACTTGCTATTATTGCTCAGTTCGTGGGTGTGCATTACAAGGCACAGAGTGTCTAGGTTGCAGGTTTGATTTAAGAAGAGAGCAAAGAGAGAAATTATATTTAACTGCACTCTGTGATGCATCCTTTGTCTTACTACTTGTGAACTATATAATTAAGAATTAACCACTATAATTAACTATTCTGGCCTAGGCAGAATGGTATCAGTTGCTGTGGAGTGGTTTTGCAGGGTTGTTATGGCTAAGCTCACACCATTCTTGTTATAAGGAAAACAAAGCAGAATGCCATGACTAGTGGATTTCCACTGGCTTTGTACCAAGTCAGAATTAAACCTCTCTTGAGAATGAACTTCAATTACCATAATTTTAATTTTCAAGCATCTGTGGACTAATTAACTAAAAAAGCCCTACAGGCAGATTCTGACCCCTTAGACATCTCTTTTAATACCTTACTCCAAGCAGTAGTCTTCACACTACTTGCAGACTAAAGTTCTACTTCTGTTGAGTAAAGGTATTAAAATCTGGCCCATACTGACTAGAAAGAAAGATGAGCAATGAACATGGCCTATCCTCAGTTGTCTTTATTAAAAATTGATTGCTACAAAATATGTTTCTTGCATCCCCAGAATGATGCGTTATATACTTCCTTTTGTGCTCGTGCCCATTTCCTTCCTTCCTTCCCAGTCCCACGCTGGCCAGAAAGATGGAGGTTGTCTGCAGCACCACACAAACTAAAATCAAATATCTGGGAGCTCTAAAAATGCATTGTAGAGAAACACCTCTCAGAGATGGTCTGAGCAGACTTGACCATGTCTCAGTACAGAGCAAGAGCAATAGCTCAGATGATCACTTGATGCCCCTTCTGGCTCTGTGGTTCTGTGATTCAGAGGCCACCAGACAGGGTGTGGTGTTAAACTTTCATAACTGTACATTTCTTCAGGTATCAATGAAAAATGTAAGACGACATTTCTGTATTTTGTGAGAAAATGCCTCATCAGAAGTAGAAAGTTGATAGACTGTTTTTTAAATACCTTTTGGAAGATCTCAGCAGTAATCTGTGATTACTTCTGAGCCCTTCCTTGCTCATGTTGAATAAGCAAAGCAGAAATCTTATTGCACGGAGAAATTATGGAAATGCCAAAGATTGCCTAATAAACAGATGGTGTCAGTGCTTCGTTAACACCACTACATATCCATGACATCTTTTTCATCATTTGAATAACAAATGATCTCTGAGCCTACACTAGAGTAAATCTTATTGACCTTTCAAGATTGCTTCTGCTTTTTTTTTATTGAAAAGCAATAACTCCATCTTCATTAGAATAATTTTCAGATATATATATATATAGTACTAGCAAATGTGTGCATAGGAAAATAATCCAGGCAGTCACAGTGCTGTTTTCTTTGGTTGAAGGTATATACACACAGCCTGCCAACGTAGTCTGAAGCTCCTCTGATGTCCTCTCTGATGCTAAATTCTGACATAATGACATCTGTGACTAACACTTTCTATCATCTCCAGTTATCTAGGAGACTCCAGCTGACCTTAGAGAGTGATAAGCTAGCCTCAGTTATTCATGTCTTCATCACCTCACAGCTGGACTACAGTAATACTATCTACTTAAGCATGAAGCCTTTTGCACTTAGGAAACTCCACATGGTGCAATACACTGCCACATGTTCCTTCAGCAGCACAGGCTACCAGGCACTTCAGGCCTGTCATCTGTCCTCTCCACCAGCTTCCCATAGAAATCAAACCCCTGATCTTCCAGGTCCTCAAAGGCCTGGACCCAGTATATTGAAAAGACTACCTTGGATGTAAACTGTTGTCCATACTCAAGCTCTTCTAGTTCAATTAAATTCTCAACATGAAGACAAAGTTGAGGTGTTTGGGAAACAGGACTTTCTCAGGAGCTGGTCTGAGACTGAAGAATGAACTCCCAGTGGAAGTAAGATTTAGAGTATGTTGAAACCTAGGACTTTCCATTCCACAAGAAAGTGAAAATTTGTTTTCATTCCCAAATGGGAATAAAACCAAATATTTCCAAACTAGCTTAGTAAAAATGTTTTGAAAAGTGTCAGTTTCAGGAATATTTTGTTTCCCAATTTCAAAAATTAATTGAGAATGTCAACATTTCATCTAAGGAGTTTGATTTTTGTTTTGCTTTGTTTTGAATGTCCTTATATTTTACAGCATTTCAAATTGTATTTCTTAGGGTTTAACACAGTTTAACCTAAGAGTAAAACACAAACTGAAGACACTTTGCTCTCAAACAGACAAAATGTTTCAGTCAGGAAATGGATGGAGGTGATGGAGGATGCAGGCTTATTGGTAGTAATCCAGCAATTATGCACATTTACCAGACAGCTTGCAGCCCCTGAATATGGCAGAGCAAAGCAGACATAGGGCTATAGCCATAGTGGTGCAAAGTTGCTTTCTGGGGGGGGACTCAACTCAGGGAATAGGATTTGGACTGCCAGAGCACATAGTCAAAGCTCTGTGGGACAGTCAGGTCCAGTAAGATATAAAATACCTGTGAAGGACGAAGGAAAATCTGATGAAGGACAAAGGAAATTCTTCCCTTAGCGAGAAAAGATGTTTTCAGACTTGAATGCACTATTTGAGCAGGCAACCTCTGCATCAATACCTCTCTTCCTAAGACTGGCGTATCTAAACAGAATGCTTATAGCCTTGTAGGTCCCGCTTACATACATGCAGGTTCATTAAGATGTAAAGATATGTTATGTGAAGATAATTTTAAAATCATAATGTTATCTGCTTTTAAAGGATTATGGTGTGTCTGTTCTGTGCACACTTTCTCCACCCCCACCCCAAAACATGTAATATAAACACCTTAATGTGGCTCTCGGCTTGAACCAAAAACCACTTCAGAGAGAGCAAGCTTTTTGGAATGTGTTTTCATGAGACATCATGCGCTGAGCTTTGCTGCAGCACTCCTTAGTCATCAGGCAATGTAGACATACCCAGTGCCCTGGGCAGTTTCCTTCAGTGCTTTGTGCCTGGATTTATAGAAGTAAATAAATCATTGTGCATGCAAAGCACATCTACCTTTGTATGGATAGATTTTCATAGACATTAGGGCTGGAAGGGACCTCAGAAGATCATCGAGTCCAGCCCCCAATAAAGAGCCAAATGAAAGGCTTCATTGATGGGTGACACTGAATATAATCCAGCATTTCTTTAAAATAATAGATGTCCTATAGAACAATTCTAGAAGCATGATGAAGTTGTATGGGGAATTTCATACAATCTAGGAAACTACATAAAGTCAAGGGGTCAGCAGCCTTGTAATCCATACATTCATGGGATTTATAAGTGATGGGTTGATTAGCAGCTTCAGGATAGGGTTGAAGACCTGACTTAGAAAAAAAGGTTGACTCTGTGTTGCTGATGAAGTTCCTTGGCTTGTAGACTAGAAGCCAGTTGGACAATCATGCACAAGTGATTTAAGTTGTACCTATGGAGCCTTTAATCACAAGGTTGGTGACATATAGCTGTAGAGAGCTTATAAGATAAAAAGCAGTTGATTTAAAGCATGTTGTCAGTTTACTCTGACTTCTGACTCAGAAATTTGCTTATGTGGTATGGATTTTTGTACCTTCTAAGTACGATCAGTTCTCTGCTGAACCATATAAATGCTATGTACTAACCTAGCCCTATTAATTATCAAGGCCCAGCACACATTGACAGGACAAAATAAATAAATAAGCAAATCTAACTAGCTATGGAATTAGCAATGACAGAGCCATCTTTTCAAAATTATCTAAACTCCAGATCACAAAATTAGTGCTTCTCATTTTCTAAAGAATGCTCATCATTGTGGGTACCAAAGCTTTTTGAAAGATCTGACTATTGATGTAACACCAGGAGCTGGTAAGTGCTTGGCATTTCTGCAGAACCTTGTAACAGCATCATCTGTCCCTTTAAGAGGCAGCAGTCAGCCCTGTTTGAGAGAGTCCAGGGATAGGGATTTGGATAGGCAGGAAGTGTCCTACTAGGAGCTTTAAAAAGTTTCCAGAAGAGTAAACAGGGAAGGAGGAAGCAAGATGCAAGTAGAACAGCTTGCTACAAGGAGAGGCCAGGGCCAGAGCCAAAGGGCTCCTCTCCTAGTGCCTGGGACAGGGAAGGAGGCCTGGGTTTTGTTTGTTTGTGGCTTAAAGGCAGTATTTTATTTGGGAGGAGTGGCTGAGGAGATGCTCCGGAAGCAAAGTCTACATGCAGAAACCAGTAAGCTAGGCATCGCACTTACAAACCTGCTCTTTATCTGCCCAAATGATTGCCTAGGTCTGTTATAAAGACTGAATCAAAATCCATTCTCGTATTTGCTACTGTAAATCAAGATTGAACTCCAGTGGCTTCCACAGCATCACTCTGTGCTATGTTTATAAAAGCCCAGTAGAAAAATAAGTTATCTGTTAAAAACCAGGCTATAGTATCACAATATTGTAGAAATCTCAACCTGACTGAGGACTGTAATCTGGCTATTTTTACTGCATTATTTCATTTTTTTCTGGGCATCTCAGACCAGGGATTGGTCAAGGTACGTGCTTATTTCATTTTCTCTGCTACTAAAAGTATCTTAATCTCCTTGCTACTCCTTGATTTGTTAAGCTCCTTGTGGGATACTCCCGGCCTATCTAAATGCCCTGCAGCTGGGCTCTCTCAACAGGGCTGACTGTCTTAAAGGGACAGACTACCCTGTTAAAGGGTTCTTCAGAAGTGCTAAGCACTTACCAGTCCCCATGTTTCAAATGTACTGAGATAGACCAATGACTTATGAAGTGACTACCTGCTCCAGTTAAAATATGTTTGCTGTGAAATAGAAAAAAAAATCCAATAAAGTTGATTTCTATTCTCAAAAGAAACTTTCTTAATAATGTTGCAGAGAAAAATGCCTTATATTTTTTAAGCTGAGAAGCTTCTGAAATAATTTTGAACTCCCAAAGGCATCTCACTGAGGTGAGTACAATGCATCACATAGTGGATTTCAGATGGTAATAAAATCCTGTATCATTTAAATTGATGGCAGGGATGTTCATTAGTTCAGAAGACCAAACTGAACTAATTCCTGGTGTAACTCCAGTGACCTAACATTCAAGAGGAAATCAGGGCTGAAGCAGTCATTTCGAAGGAGCTAATTCTAGGGGTGACTAATCAAAGTTTTGACTGTTAAAGTAAAGCTAAAGTTAAAATGACATGAAGAGGTAAAAAGTATGGGGTTTCTATGCATCTCAGAAGTGTTTTCTTTTCTTATACATCTTTGACTTATGAATGGTGCCTTCACAGCTTCGCATCCATTCTATTGGATGCCATGCACAGGCAAATACTTTATCAAGTTAGATCTCTTTTCAGAACGTATTCCTGGGTCATATTGTAAAAAGCTAACAGAGCTGGCCACACTCCTCAGGTAATCATACTCAGCACTGCTTCAAACAGGGGCAGAATCCAGTCAAATCAATGAGAAGCACGTATACTCAAGGTACAACTGAATTTGACCATACCTGTGTGTTAAGACTTCCAGAGAGGAAGAACCAGGGAATTAGGAATGAGAGCCCACTGGTGTGACTCAGAATAGATTTATGGAAATTAGATTTCCCTTAGTTGTAGAGTTGGGTCCCAGAAATGGATATTCTAGGTGGTTCTCTCTTATTTACCTTAAAATGCCTGAAAATGATGGGCAATGAAACCCCCCTGATCTTTCCTTTGGAGTACTGGATGTTTTGTGAAATAGTAAGAGTTTAAGCCTATACCCCAGTCTAAATCTGCATGGATTTGTGGTCATGCAAACATTCAGTGCATCCTGAATTGGAATTTTTGTATGTAAAATACCTACCAGGAGCCAGGTGCTGCATGTTCTTCAAGTGCATAGCATGGGGACAGGTGGCGTATAGAAATTTAGACAGACAGATCGGGCACTGAACTCTGTTATATCGTGTAAACATGGAGTAACAAGTCAGAATTTGGCCTTTGGTCTCACACTGTGCCAGCCTCAGCTCAATAACTAGTAAATCTGAAACACATCAAACTCATCTGCATATAACCAAAGGTTCAGGCTTTTCCCTTGAATCTAATCCTGATGTGTTTATTAGCAATAAAATACGCCTGCTTGCCAGAGGTGTAATAAAGGCAAAGTCAAACAGTAAGCTTTGGGGATTTATCGTAAATGAAATGCACAATCTTCTGATTGAATATCCAAAGATTCAATTGTGCCTTTTACTCTTAAGTGCCAGAAAAGCACCCCCTCCTACTGTTCTTTCTCACCTGCCTCCCTCTCAGCTTTAAATTCAAAGCTTTGCAGCAAAGAGTACTAAATAGTCATGTGGCAGTGAGAATCTTAAGTGAAGTGAGTATTCCCATTCCACTTTCAATTTTCTGATAAGGTTCATGAAACTTCCTTTCTTTTTTGAGGGAGGGAGGAGAAACATGCACTAAGAAATGCCTTGCCTAATGGAATCTGAGTAAATAAAATTAAACTTTTGATGAGACTTACAGCAAAGCAGCAACCTAAAGTGGCAGAATTTAGCAATGATAAAGAAATGGCTTTGCAAACCTCAGGGAATCCCTGAGCATCATCATGTTCCTTTCAGAATATTCTAATCTTGCAGTCAAATTACCAGCTTTTAGTTTAGATAAAGTTTCTCATTTTCTTCCTGCTGACACCCATTTTGCACCAGTGTAATTCCACT